AAAAAGCAAACCTCAATCAAAAAGACGGATCTAAGGTAGAATGCTTCCTTTAAAAGAAAGTCACAATCTGATCATTTTTGGTGAATTGAAAAATTTGAGTTTCTAAATAGGTCCTTGAATTTGTAATTATCTTGCCAAGGTAAAGACAGTCAGTAAGACCTATTTGTGTAGACAAACACAAGAGACGTCTTTGTATTGAAATGATGTTTTATAGAAAAAACACTGCACATTAAGAGTGAAAAGATAGTGTAGGACCGAAAATTTATACATACAAAAAATGGGTAATTTAGCCTTAATGTAGAAACAGAAGTTAGGGGCAAAGAGGCATTGTTTTTAGCATTCATTCATTGGGGAAGGGGAAAGTTTATTTAAGAATTCTGTTAAACATGTTTTGTCATCAGGAAGAGTTGTGTGGTATCTCTTGTTTAGATGAAGAGAGCAACAGTTGAAAAGGTCAACTCCATCCCAACAAGCACTGTTTCTATGACAGCTTATCTAAGCCATCGTGTTTGCTGTTAACTACCTCAGGTACCCGATACAGTATCTGGCACAGAGGAGGCATTCAAAATGGTCTATTTATTTCACTTAATATTTGATGTATTGAATTTCACTGGGGTCAAATAATGTGGACAGATACTTGGAGCTTACTCTCATGAAGATTGATCTGTAATATTGCTTTAGTAACTTTTGAAGTTTGTTTATAGTGAGCCATTTATTCTAGTCTCAGCCCTACTGACTGTGTATACATCTCTTAACTATAAAACTTAGCCAATTACCATACAATTCTGATGACTTTTTTATGGAAACTTATAAACCAGTGTCAGCACTGCTATAAATTAGTTAATAAAAAGGAATTTACATTCTTTTTATCTTGTTTATTACAAATATATATTTGTGTACATATATAGTAAAAGTTCAAATAATAGAAAAACATGGAAAGTTAAAGATCCTAGTAATGCTATCAAAGGAGCAGCCATTGCTAACAGATTTTATATATTCTAATTTTATCTGTGCATATAACATATGTAATTTAAAAACAAAAATAGTTATCCTAGTCACTGTTGTGTAACTTGCTTTTTTTCTCCACTTATTAGAAATGTCTTGAACAGTATGTGTGTATAATCTACCTCTTCTTGCACAGTATCCTTAGATAGTATATCTTCATCTAAAGTAATGGAAAATATCAGTTTACATTAGTTTGAACAATAAGGAAACTGTTGAAGTGTGGCTATACTTCTCAGTGACTTTCCTGGTTCTTGTCCTATGGCTAGTAGTGAGATGGGCAGCAGCATCCCTTCCTTGAGTCTTCCTAATCACTGGGAAAGAGCAGGGGATCACTGTGATTTAATTAGGCTAATCATCAGGGATAAGATGAATGTTGGGCAGTTAATCATCATTGCAAGTATTCCATGTATCATGATTTATTTAACTAATTTCCTATTCCATGGTTATAAATAATGTTATGAACACCTTTGTACCATATAATTTTGTGTACTCGTGCAAGGGTTTCAATAGAGTAGATTTCTGGAGTAGAATTACTAGATTAAAAGAAGTTGCTAGACAATGCCAAACTAAAGTTCTAATTTGAAGAGTATGTATGTATTACACACACATATATATATGCATACACACACACACACACACACACACTCACACACACACACACACACACACACACACACACAC